TTTAATTTTACATGTATAATGTATTTGTTTTTTCGTTTTTTTGTTACGTATAATGTATTTGTATTTCCATATTTTTTTTATTTTTTTACTGAACGATTCTTAGATCTGTGTTACAATCGCGTGTTTACAGTTAGCGAAAAAGAAAGAATGTTTTCGTTGATCAGACGCTTTGTTATGTTTTCACCTGTAGGCGACTGTATTACCAAGGACGATGTTATGTAGAAAACGACAGTTAACTTCAGGGTTTTCTTCTCTGTTTTGGCGAGAGGGAGTTAAGTCGAGTCCATGTTAGGGTCTCGCTGGTTGAGTGTGTTTGTCGCGTGCTTGATCATCTTCGTTTGGGATGTTTCGATTCAATTCCGGCATTGGCGTTGGAGTTAAGTAGATGGATGTTTATTGTTAAAGATTGGGGTGGCAGGGATGCTAAATTGCAATAGAAATGTGGAAACGCGCATGCATGTACGCCCACGCATACACGTGCACATAAACATACGCACAAACATACATTTACACTTGCATATAAATACACACATAAGGAGCTACTCATCATTTGCACATAGTTATATGTACATACACATATGTATTTACACATTTTAATACGCACATACAAAGGTGCACAATGACGTATAGACGCACATACACAGGTACACACTGACGTATAGACGCACATACACAGGTACACATTGACGTATAAATGCACGCACACACATATACAAGCACACATATACAAGCCTACGCACGCACCCATGGACACAGATACACAGTCGCTCACGCACATGCATACGCGAGCGCGCTAGTGGTCAATGCAAGTTGTTTACTTGCTTTAGCGTATGTAAACAAAACCCGATTTAATGCTCACACTGATGTTGCATGACGGAGAGAGACAATCATGTACTGCTCATGAGCCGCATGTCATTAAAGGTTATTTAGCCACCCGCTTCATGAGGAAAAAAATGCCTTTTAAACTTCGAAAAAGAGTTAGTGCGTTAGCTAAGCGAGGATTAAAGGCGGGGCTGAGATTGTTGCCATGGTCTCCTCAGGGGGGCGCCTCACCGTGACTGGTCTGTTTGGCGTTCGGGCGAGCCATGCGCCGCCGCTCAGGGTTGGGCGCGCATGAGAGAGGGCCTTGGTACCCTACTGGTATCCGGCGGGGGTAGTTAATGTTGTATATGTATTATTTGTAAATGTAATATATGTCTGATTTGTATATTTATATGTATTGCACACACACGCGCACACACACACACACACACACACACACACACACACACACACACACACACACACACACACACACACACACACACACACACACACACACACACACACATATATATATATATATATATATATATATATATATATATATATATATATATATATGTGTAACCCTATAGTGAGAGAGGCAGAGTGTGAGTGTGTGAGTGCGCGCGCCCGTGCGTATGTATGTGTATGTGTATGTGCATCAGGGGGTATCCCTCGGCGTAATGGTGAATAGCCTTTCGCGTTGCTGCTACTAAGGCCGCGCTAGATAGGTTCAGCCATGCCAACAGGGCTTAACTTCTTCCAGATTAAGTTACTCTCACGACCAAGATATATTTAGACGAATAGGTGGGCGATATTCGGCTGTTTTTCCTCCCATACGATACTTGGGTTGAGGCTGTTTTAATACTGATATGGTATATATACATGTGTGTGTGTGTGATTGTAAGAGATTGAGAGAGAGAGAGAGAGAGAGTTTGAAGAGAGAGAGAGAGAGTTTGAGAGAGAGAGAGAGAGAGAGTTTTGAGAGAGAGAGAGAGAGAGTTTGAGAGAGAGAGAGAGAGAGAGTTTGAGAGAGAGAGAGAGAGAGAGAGAGAGAGTTTGAGAGAGAGAGAGAGAGTTTGAGAGAGAGAGAGAGAGAGAGAGAGAGAGAGAGAGAGAGAGAGAGAGAGTTTGAGAGAGAGAGAGAGAGAGAGAGAGAGAGAGAGTTTGAGAGAGAGAGAGAGAGAGAGTTTGAGAGAGAGAGAGAGAGAGAGTTTTGAGAGAGAGAGAGAGAGAGTTTGAGAGAGAGAGAGAGAGAGTTTGAGAGAGAGAGAGAGTTTGAGAGAGAGAGAGAGAGAGTTTGAGAGAGAGAGAGAGAGAGAGAGTTTGAGAGAGAGAGAGAGAGAGTTTGAGAGAGAGAGAGAGAGAGAGAGAGGAGAGAGAGAGAGAGAGAGAGAGAGAGAGAGAGAGAGAGAGAGAGAGTCTGAGAGAGAGAGAGAGAGAGAGAGAGAGTCTGAGAGAGAGAGAGAGAGAGAGAGAGTCTGAGAGAGAGAGAGAGAGAGAGAGTCTGAGAGAGAGAGAAGAGAGAGAGTCTGAGAGAGAGAGAGAGAGAGAGGAGAGAGAGAGAGAGAGAGAGAGAGAGAGAGGAGAGAGAGAGAGAGAGAGAGAGAGAGAGAGAGAGAGAGAGTCGAGAGAGAGAGAGAGAGAGAGAGAGAGAGAGAGAGAGAGAGAGAGAGAGAGAGGAGGGGGGGGGGGGATGCGCATGCATATATGTTTATTCCAAGTTCGTGCTGACGTGAAAAGCGCCGCCGACGAAGATCCTTCCTGTCCACCTGCTGCGCCTTCCTCAGAGGAGGCGGAGTAGTGTGACACTTCCTCCTTCCATCTCTTCGCCGACACGTGATCCTCGAGCTTTGATGCGCAGTTCTTCGGCGCAGTTTTGTCGCCGCGGACGCCTCACGTGACACAATGAGAAAATGAGTAATCGGGTACATCATGTCCTGAGTGACAGCGCATCTGGCCAAAGGATTATTGAGCGTTACGTGTACGTGAGTTTGTGTTTGTTGTTTATTGTTGCTTATTGTTTGTCCATGTTCCAGCCAGCATCAGCTGATTTTTTTCCTTGGGTGACCTTTGCTGAAATGTTCAGTTGACTGTTCGTTCATCTACCTTCATTTGCATTCATCTGGCCTAATTTGGTGGTGGTTGTAATATGCATTTTTTTTCTTTTTTATTTGCATTCAAATATAACGTATATGCCGCACGTAACGGTGTGTATAACATGCGTTCTGTCGTTCTCTTAACATATACAGCGCATTTTTAGGGTAGTTTTGCATACTTAAAGCATACAGCACAACATATAGTGTCATATATAATGTACGTAAGTCTTGAGTTAAGGTTTTGCAAGTTTATCTGCAACAGAAATTCGCGCTCTGACTTCGTTTATTTAATGTGCACAGTAAACGGATATCCCTTCCCCATGTATCCGTTGGCGATTAATTGTTAGGAGTTATTATTTAAACTCCTGTTATTAGTGGCCCTGGTTTTTCCATGCAAAGAACAAAGGACAACTCTGAAGCAGGAGCATCGAATAACCTGGTAAAAGAGAATTGGGAGAGGAGCACGAAATCAACGGATTATCCTTCTACGCGGGCAACAGGGGGCATTTGTATTCTGCACAGCTTGAGGATGAGTTCTTACGTTTACGGCCTCCACACACGCATACACGCACTTTCAACACACACACACACACACACACACACACACACACACACACACACACACACACACACACACACACACACACACACACACACACACACACACACACACACACCACTTAGTACTGTATGTGTATGTATCATCAGAGTGTCACTGTGCATGACCGCCAGTAAGCAGACACCGACAGACAGAAAAAAGACATTCACCCATTTTAGGCCTATGGATTAACGAATGATTCCTCCACAGATTAGAAAAGAAAACAAAAAACACTTTCCTTTACCACGGGCAAGTTGCACAGTCAGTGACGTCAGCGCTGCCTCGTCAATATGAATGTTAGCGTGCACATTCAGTGGCGGCATTCAGTCCCATTGGCCATGAATTGGAGTTTAGATTTAGCGCTTTTCGGCGGCCGAGGGGGAGCGCGCGCGGCGGGCATCTCGTGACGTCAAGGGATTCCCTCGCCCGTTTTCTTGCATGTCTATACGCACACGTGTCTACATTATCGAACGCACACAGCGCCTACGTATACACATGCATCTGCACACGTATACAGATACACATGAAAATGTACACACACTTACAGACACATGTACATAAATGCATATTTTTATATTCATACATATATGTGCATACATACATACACATACGTATACATATACATATATATGTATATACATAAATATATGCATATACATAAACATATGCATATACATAAACATATGTATATACATACACGTACATATAACGTGTATACGTTTATATACATTCATGCTTTCGTACATATACCTACATGCATGCATACATATACCTCCAGCCATACATACATAGATACATATATATATATATATATATATATATATATATATATATATATATATATATATATATATACATACATGCTTTCGTACATATACCTACATACATGCATACATATACAGACATACATTCATAAAATATATATATATATATATATATATATATATATATATATATATATATATATATATATATATATGTTTGTGTGTGTATGTATGTATGTATATATATATATATATATATATATATATTTATGTATATATGTATGTATTTATAGATGTGTGCATGTGTTTGTATGTAAATGTATATGTATGTACGTAGGGTACGCACAGCGCACACACACCTATGTGTGTGTACGTTTTAATTCCACGTATTAGCCTAGACAATTGCAGTGGATTTCTGGGAAAGGGATCACCCTTATCGTTTTATCGGTGGACCATAATCCATTCTCCTTATCAAAATCATTGTTTGAAAAAGATATAAAAGTAGCTCGCGGCAAAACCTCGTCCAGGTTTCAAATTCTTGATAATATTTGTCGTTTCTTTGGAACCTGGGGTCCAATTGTTCTTTTTATCCCTTCATTATCCTCCTCTTCACGATCATCCTCTCTGTCTTCATCATCATCAATCTTTTCCTTCCTGATGTTGAATCAGTACTACTAGATAAGCCTTATCTTTACGTGGCACGAATTTCACCTGTTTTCCTTTGCCTCTTCCCAGGGTAGGCAATGACCCTGCCGATGCCGAGGAAGTGACCTACGCTGACCTGCTGAAGGAAGTATGTCGCCTGGCCAACTACCTGAAGTCCAAGGGTGTGGCCAAGGGCGACAAGGTGGCCATCTACATGCCCATGATCAAGGAACTGGTGGTGGCCATGCTTGCTGTGGCCCGCATAGGCGCGGTCCATTCCATTGTGGTGAGTTTTCCCGTTTTTCTTTTGGACTTATGGGTCATTGGGAGTCTCGGATGCCGATTGGTTTTCTCTCTCTCTATGTCTGTCTCTCTCTCTCTCTCTCTCTCTCTCTCTCTCTCTCTCTCTCTCTCTCTCTCTCTCTCTCTCTCTCTCTCTCTCTCTCTTCTCTCTCTCTCTCTCTCATTCACTCCTCTCATCCTCTCTCTCTCTCTTTCACTCCTCTCTCACTCTCTCTCCCTCTCACTCCTCTCTCCCTCTCTCACTCCTCTCTCCCTCTCTCACTCCTCTCTCCTCTCTCACTCTCTCCTCTCTCCTTTCATTCTCCCTCTCTATCTATATATATATATCAGCTCTCCCTCTCTCACTCCTCTCTCCTATCTCATTTCTCTCTCCTTCCTCCCTCCCTCCCCCTCCCTCCCTCCTCCCTCCCCTCTTACTCTCCCTCCCTCCTCTGACTTCTCTCTCATGCTGTCAGCCAGTCGGAATGCTTTTGGAAAGCCCAGTAGGATGATGCTTGCAAAACAGCGTTATATTGTGCTCGTTCATCGTTGTTTATATTTAGACGCATATTAGAACTCCTCACTAAACAGTATCGCGCACTGTTGTTGCCAATATCTTGGGTGTTGGACGGGTTAAAACGTTGAGTGTGGGCGGGAGAGGAGGAGGGAGAGGGAGAGGGGGAGGAAATAGGAAGGGAAAGGAGGGAGGGGGAGGGAGAAGGGGAGAAGTAAGGGAAAGGGAGAAGGAGAGAGAGAGAAAAGGGGAATGGAAGAGATGGTTAAAGGTAAGGATATTGCGAGAGAAACAAGGAGCGAGAGAGGCCATAGGAAATAGATCAAAGGATAGAAGATAGAGAGAGAGAGGGGGGAGGAGGAGGGAGGGAGGGAGGGAGGAGGAAATAAAGAATGATCAAGGTCCATATAAGTAGGCTTACTTATGTAGACCTTGTTCCCGATGCCCCTTGGAGTGACCTCGTGTTGCCCTCGCCAGTGTCATCTCCTCGAGGCACTCACAGGTCAGCTGTTTGTTAGCGTGTCACCAAACACTGTTGGTGTTTTAATTCTCCTTGCGCAAGTTGAATGTTGGATTTATTTATTTGTTTGATTATTTTGTCATATTCTCGTTTAATGTGTGTAAAGAATGAAATATTTATTTGTTTATTCATTTATATTCTTATTTGATAAGTATAGAATTTGGAATAATTATTTGTTTATGGATTCATATCCTTATTTGATGTGTATAAAGATTGTAGTATTTATTTTGATTATACTTAATTTATATATGCATAAAGACTGAAGTATTCTTATTAGTATATTCTTATTTCTTATATATAAAGATAAAATATTATTTTTACTGATCTATATTCTTATTTATATGTATAAAGAAAGAAATTATTATTTTATCTTTTTTATATTTTATATATATATAATATATATATATATATATATATATATATATATATATATAAAGATTGAAATCTTTGTTTTGCTGACTTCTATTCTTAGTTTATGTGTTTAAAAGTTGACATATTTTATTGAATTATATTCTTATGTTATATCTATAAAAGTTGACGTATGTAGTTCATTGATTTATATTCGCATTTTATATCTATAGCTTTTATTTGATAAGTATAAAGAATCGAAAACGGCCGAAGTTCGCACCCTCTTTCTCACCCGAAGCGCGGAATGGCGGCTTAAAAAGGGAGCGAGGGCTTGGAGCTCGATATGAAGCGCCCCGGCAGGAATTTGGAGGTTGCCTGTGTGGAATGTTCTTATGACTTTGCAGACGCCGCATTTCCCTGCCCCTTTTCTTGCTGCCTTCCTGCTTTTTCTGCCTCTTTTTCCTGCCCTCTTTTCCCCCCTCTTTTTCTCCCCTTTTTCTCCTCTTCGTCCCTTGCGCTTTGCCGCTCTCGGGCCGAAAATTCCTGCAGGGGATCGCCGGTGATCAGGTCCCGGATGTGGATGGCTTGGGGAACGGTGTAGAGCTCGTGGGATGTATTATATTATATTATTATTATTATTATTATTATTATTATTATTATTATTATTATTATTATTATTATTATTATTATTATTATTATTATTATTATTATTATTATTATTATTGTTATTGTTATCATTATTATTATTTTTGTTGTTGTTGTTGCTGCTGGTGCTATCGCCGTCGTCGTCATCGTCGTCATCAATCATCTTCATCATCAATCATCATCATTTATTATTGATATTTATATAGTTTATACTATTAATATTGTTGTTATTTACCAACATTATTGTTCGCCGTCTTATGACACCTGCTTTCGAGATGTTGATTATCATGGTGGTGATGTGATTGCAACCGCTGTTTGCCCTCATTACTAATTCTTATAGTCTTGTGATGCCCAGGATGATGCATATGGTGTCCCTGGAGTCCTGTGATGTCCATTTCTTTGCCAAGGTGATGAACGGGTGATGATGGTGGTTTTGACCGGACGTAGATGATGATACTTGTCATGATACATATTGAAAGGATGATACATATTTTATCAAGTGGATTGGGTGATGACAGATCATTATAAACGAGAAAAAAACAAGTGATGGAACGTAGCTGCGTGATGACAGTGGGTGATTGACAGTTTTCTCGGTTGATTGATTTGATTGATTGACTTCTACCAGAGCTTTGACAACGTAGTGTCTATTAGAAAGGGTCTTGTGGCGTAAATTCGTCTAACCGGTTTTGTGCTGCGCTCTTTGCATTCGACCTTGAGATGTGCAGCCTTGACCGGCAATGTGCTTAGTATGTTCCAAGTGGTGTGCGTGCAAGATGTTGCGATCTCTCTCTCTTTCTCTTTCGTACTCGTTCCTTTCTTTCTTTTATTGCGAGCTCTTTCTCTCTCTCTCTCTCTCTCTCTCTCTCTCTCTCTCTCTTCTCTCTCTCTCTCTCTCTCTCTCTCTCTCTCTCTCTCTCTCTCTCTCTCTCTCTCTCTCTCTGTGTGTGTGTGTGTGTCTATCTATCTATCTATCTATCTATCTATCTATCTATCTATCTATCTATCTATCTATCTATATCTCTCCCTCTTTCTATCTATCTATGTCTCTTCCTCTCCCCCTCTTTTTCTCTTATGCCTAGCCTACTTTAACTTTAACTTCTTTCTCTCGTGACCGGGAAGTGTCTGCCCGACGCTGTCGTTGAGCGATCGCGGACGTAGTTGGTCTCACTGCTTTTCGTTCATTATCATATTTTAGATGATATTATTCTTATCGTCGTCTTTCATGGCGTTATCATGCTCGTTATTGTTGCTGCTTTCATGGGTGCCAGGAGGGCTTGCGTCATTAGGAGGTTTAATTTGTGATATGAGTTTGGTAATTTTGATTTGTAGCTTGATACGTAAGATAGGGGTTTAGTGAGGTGAAAGTGAGGGAAGGTTGAGTGTTTGTTTTTTCATAATATTAAGTCCACTGTGGTGTCTTGAATTATAAGAAGGCGACGCTAACATTAGCGTTCTACTGTTCGCTGTAGAAGACATTCTCGAAGGACCTTTAGAGATATGGAGAATGTCCGAAAAAAGAAGAAAAAAAAGCGTGACATGGAAGAACGCTCTATTCTGAAACTTTACATAAAAACCGGAATGGATAAGAAAAACAGTACAAAAACATTATATACAAAAAGAACTCGAAAAAAATAACTTGCCCTTCCTCAAAACGCAGGGACGCACAGATGCGCGCGCGCGCGCGCACACACACACACACACACACACACACACACACACACACACACACACACACACACACACACACACACACACACACACACACACACACACACACACACAATTTGAGAGAAAGACAGAAAGACGGGGGGAGAAAAATAGAGAAGAAAAAGAGAGATCTTTGCACGTACAAAAAGAAAACTTTTCTTTTCGCTTGATTTTAAAAAAAAATCTAGTGACCATTATATTCTGCAGCCTCCCCCGCCAGACTCAAGTTATTTTCATAAAGAAGAGGCAGCTTCCGTTCTGGCAGTGCACGGAACGCCCAAATTTGGACAAAAAGGGATTATCAGCAAGAGTTTCATCCAAGAAATGCTGCTTCCATATTACCTTTGTGTAATTACTTGAAGCTTCAGTTAGCTACAAGCGCGTTATAACTTCACAAATAAGTGTTCTTGCATCGCGTTTTATGGAGGAAATATGCACATGAGGCACCGTAACACCATAAGCCGTTTTTCGGGACAGTGCTTTATTCTGGTGATATATGAATCTGACATGCAATCAGGGAAAAGTTCTAGAACGGATGTTAGAGAATGATAGCGAAGTATTGTGTTATGTAAAATTATCTGGTATTATAATCTAGCATGGTATGGTAGAGGTGCGAGTTATTAATCCGTCTGCCTCTAATAATGGCTTTGCTGTTATCCTTTCAAACGTGAACAAAGACAGAAATACGGTACGGTAACACGGTAACAAATGATATGAACCATTCACATTAAGGAAAGGAAGATAAAAGATAAAGAAATGTCCGAAGTAAGAAAAAAATGTAACGTTTCGGGTCCAATCAGGACTCTTTTCAGACGAGACAATAAAAGTGAATTACCTCGCCTGAAGAGGAAACCAGATTGGATCCGAAACGTCACAATTTATTGATATTGTATTGTTGCGGCTTTATTCCTCTCGATCGAAATGTGTTTGTCATGGTACGCTGTCTCTCTCTCTCTCTCTTTCTTCCGTATTCTTCTGCTAAATGTCACGGCTGCTTTGATCTGAATTCCAACTCTTTGTTTCTTTTTTTCGTGGATTTGCGCTCGGTGTCGATGGCCCAGCTGTCGTAATAGGAGGTTGATATGATGGGAATAGCGGACGATAATTAAGATTCCCAGAAGACCTGCCTTGAGTAAAACGCCAGCACCGCCTTTGCACAGCGGACCTCGCACGCGTTTGGGAATTCACCTCGGGTTTAAGAGACATGAGAAAAGGAGGGAACGGGAGCAGAGGCCAAGAAAAGGGGGGGATGGGGCAAAGATGAGAAGAA